ACCCGTTGCAGGCCTGAGTCGGGGCTTGGGAGCGTTGAGGCCTAAAATTGTAGTGGCCATTTCACTTGTGTACACAAGCAATCAAAATAAAAGCAGTGTTTAAGTCAGTACTCACAAGTCCAAGGAATGTTCACAGGAATAGATGAGGGGAAACCAGGTAAAGCCAGTTGAAGTCAGAAGAAACAGCAGTGGCAGTCCAGATCAGGAGAAACTACAGCGACAGCTGAGGTCCAAGAAACAGCAGCACGCCAACAGGAGGGAAACAGTTCTCCACAGTGATACAAAGGAGTGTGTCCGCTCCTCTCTTACAGTCACAAAAGTCCGTATCCTGAATCACATTAAATCAGCTAAGCAACCAGTCCACTATTTCATGGTGAGCTAGCGATAGCTTGTCTTAACCAATTACTTCAAATGCAAAGCAAACAGTATGAAAGCAAAGCTAAACGATATCATGCTAATGCTAATGGCTACTTGCGATTAGTAACACAACTCGTTTTTTACACCATAACATTTAGTCACAGTACAAGATCATTGCAACGACTCATATTTACCTCTTGTAGATCACAAAAGTCCAAACCATAGGATAACTGGTCGTCAACCACTGATTTTCGGACGTTAATGCACTCAGAAAATATCCACAGTTCACTGTGGACGTATCGCTTCTCACACCCCTCTACCTGAGACTGAGTTTGATTGGCTGATTGTTTCTGGACATTCCAATTAAAATAAAGAAGAATCAAAGACTGACACATTATACTATTAACCAAGTTTGGCTGTAAGACTGACTACACGTGCTTGCTCATACAAACTGCATCAACTATGCTCATTCCTATGAACTCCAAACATTGACCTCTGAACTGTACATATTAGGACTCTTTTTCAACATTTTTATTCATATTTATGTATTATAACCATACACTATGACACTTTTTATGCTTTTTAACCATCAATTTGTACTTTTTAACCATATTTATACTTTTTTTTAACATAACTATTTAGGCCTACATCTTGATGTCTGGATGAATTTTAACCAGGGCTACAGTTGGAATGAAAGGAAGCTTCATTATAGGGACAGATGCTTGATGCAGCCTCTATTACTGTTTATCTTTCCAGTCATGAAAGCAAGTAAGATTGCGAGCGACTCAACTTATAACCTCAACACCCACTTTCAGATCCTTCCCCTGTATTCAAAACATACAGGAGCAGCTTCATCAAACATTTTTGTCCTGGTTTATTATATGAATGTTTCATAGAGCTACAATTTTGCTGCTTCTGTTTGAAGGCATCAAATGGAGTACACAGCCTGACTGCACAGTAATTAAAGGCCTGGGGCCATATTCACAAAGCTTCCTAGCGCTAAGAGTTGCTCCTAGTGACGAAATTCTAAGAAAATTCTTAGAATTGTGATGTTTTCTTAGAATTTCCCCTTAAAGTTAAGATTAGGTCCTTGTAAAGACAAAAGTTATTCACAAAGCATCTTAGACCTTTAAAGAGCTCCTAAGGTGAAAAAATGTTAGGAGTACGGAGGAGGACTTCTAAGAGGCTTAAGAGTTTCTTAATCAGAGAATAAAATGGTGGAAACACTAAGAGGTCGGAGAAACGGTCTCTAAACACAAAATGACAGTCAATGAAATGCTACAGATGACATTGTGCAGGGATAACGTTTGTGGTCGATCTCATTTGGGGTATACACACATTTCCGGGTCCAAGTCAGTGGTCCGACAGCCCATTGGTCCGACATCCCGTTGTTCCGATATGTGATTATACTAGGCTATACTGTATTTGTGTACCATAGAGGATCAGCAAACACAACAAAAGTAGGCTACTGGTCGAGATACAAGTGCCATACAGAGAAAAAAGTGAAACACCATAGCCTCCTGTTATTAACTCTGGGGTCCGGGTTGTGTGGGGAGCTCTCCGCGGTGCTTAACGGCTCCCGGCGGTTGTATTTCTGCCTTGATGGTGCGCCGTGACCTGCTCTGGGTCAGCTGGGAAAGGCTTGAGGTGAAGCAGGCTCACGGCTTATGTGTTTGTCACTTTCTTTTTCATTTTAACCCACACCATGATCTTTTCCTGACCCTAACCAAGTGGTTTTTGTGCCTAAACCTAACCAGACCTTAACCACAGGGCATCATGATGATTTCGGAACGGACTTCGGAACAATGAGTTTAATGTGGTCGGAACAATGGGATGTCGGACCAATGGGCTGTCAGACAAATGGGCAGACCCCCACATTTCCAACCTAACAAAATAACGCTATAACGGCAGAAATAAAATTATCACAATACTAAGATATTTGAAAAACTGGAAAATGCAGCGGTGATGACTTTTGTCTGTCTCAACCTTCAATCAGCAGAGTGATCGCACTGACAATGACTGACTGACGAAAGATGTCATATTGTGATGCAGTTCATTTCATTTCCACTGGGTGTCCACACCTTGCAGGCCTAGAAAAGGGTGTGTCTGTGACAACCAATCACATCTGTTATAAGAAAGTATCACACCCAGCAACAGGGTCAACCACACCCCCTCAGTAAGATAAAAGTTTCTGTCCCTTCCTTGTTCAGAGTTGCTTTTAGAAGTTTCCTAAATCATTCCTAAGCTAGGACTCCTTACTAAAAGTTTTTAGTCTAAGTTAGGAGCTGTCTGAGAGTATTCTCAGAATGATTGGGAATACGGCCCCAGGTGTTTTAAATTCTTATAGCAAATCAGACCTGCCAACCTGTAAACATTTTGACATCAAAATATGTGATTTGTCCAAGCTGAGGCCAAAAAAAATGAAGCCAATGCATAATTGTAACAGAATGACAAAGACAAGGGCTGCTAACTCTTGACATGAAATACAACTACTTCAGTTTTGAAAATAATTTCTATTTGCAGATTTCAGGTACTAGTAATAGCGCCATTTGTGCACCTAATCATGCACATGTATTTGTTGCTGTTGTTTTTGTTGTTGTTATTGTTGTTGTTTTTCGAAAGGAATTTTGTTTTCAATCCAGTCAGGAACACACATTTATCCAAGATTCCAAAATGCTACAGATTCATAAATGACATCTTTTGTATTTATGATGGAAGTCCTGATGAATTAGCAGACTTTGTCATTCTCTTGAATGGTTTTGACAGTAACTTACAATTTACATGAAACTATAGTACTGAGAGAGTAAGCTTCCTAGACATATGGGTTATGAAAAATAATGGCTTTGTCACTACAACAATCTATCAACAGGACACTGACAAAAACATCTTTTACTGGCTACAAGTTTTCACCCTACCCCCCTGAACAGCAGCATTAAAATCATTATTTTTACAAGTTAGACAGTGTGTTAGAGTTTTTCCACTATGTTCTGTTTACCCCTCTCCTATGTACCTGTTTGGAAGTAGATGTGCGAAGTATTCCTTTGTTCTGAGGTTGTAAACAATAGAAATTCTAAAGTGTCAATGCAGCTGTAGTGGTAGGCTAGTGTTTAGCCAAGAGGTAGGCAACCTGAGGCTTGGAGCAGCATGCAGCTCTTTAGACCCTTTCCAGTGGCTCCCTGTGGCTTTGACATAAAATCATGGAACAAATAATGGTTATTTTTTAGCATTCAGATTTTTATCTGTCGTTGTAGGCCTAGAGTTATTATTACTTTCGACAACTATAAAAATGTGTAGCCTATACATCAAATTTAAAAATATTTAAACATTTCATTAACTAAAATATGTGTCATACGTCTGTGGCCTGGCACCTTTTCCTCTGCATTTAGCTGAACCTCAGTAGGGCTGGCTAGCCTCTAGCCAGGCTAGTTAAAGATTTCAAATCCAAAAAATGAAAAGTCTTCGAGGAAAATAGAGGATTTAATAGTTTGTGGACAGATTCATTTGCTTTCACCACCAACACTGCAAAGATATACATAGCCCACTGCAGAGTAGCCACCTTGTGGTAAATCATATTAATGAATGATCAGTAAGACCTATTTGTAATGTTGATGGGCTAATTTAGAGTTATTAGGCTGTTACCTTTATTCAAATTTGTTTTGCAGCTCCAGGCAGATTTTCTGTTTCTTTTTTTGGCCAGTAATGACTCTTAATAGTAAAGGTTGCCGACCCCTGGTTTAAAGTAAATGGTGATCCTTGGTAAGCTGTGTTTAGGCAGCTGAGAGACAGATACTTTTGTAAACAATTTATTATTGGTAACAACATTTTTCACATCAGTGCATCCCTCACTTTTTTGTGTCTGACTACTGTATGTATGCAAATGATTTGCTGTAAAGCACATGTATGCAGTTTACAATATGTACAATTATTCATTGTGCAAACAGCAGTGATTCATATCTGACACATCTAAATCACCAAAGTGGTACTCAAACAATGTGTCCAGGGTTAGCAGGTCTGTGAAATCACTTTCATATAGCCTCCAGTGTGTATACAGTGAGCCATATCAGGACAGTGACAGAGTATTTTGTAAAATATAGCTCTTTCCTCTAGCTGTGCACTGCGTGCAGAAGGCAGCACAAAATTATGGGAATGCCACAATCTTACTGGTCTCAGCTGTATGAGTCAAATTCTGCTGTAAGCTACTGGCCACACAGAGGCTGCTGACACAAGCTTTATTTTCTGCCGCTTACATATTCACATTTGTGCAGCATAAATGGATGTTTTAGCTCTGCTTCCTCTTTGTCACCAAATTTCAGCTTTTCTCTCTTATTTCCATTTTGGGTAATAGACAATCATGCATCACTGTTGTGATATCACAGAACAAAATAATATGCCATAGCACAGACTGTTTTCTTCTTTCTTCAGTCATGAGTCATGAACACATTTGCATCCCACATGCCTGGAGCCAGGAGATCTCAGTGCAGCCTTTGGTTAACCCCACAGAAATCTGAGCGCTCCATTCAGCAAATGCTTTCTGTGCTATCTTTGCAATTTATGGTGCCATCCATCATAATCATGGTTCTGATGGTCTGCCTCTAACTTGTGTTTCTGTCTTTATTTTTATTTTTGTCTATTTTTTTATCCAGGCCTGGCGAGTGTGGTCAAAACTCTGCTGTGGTCAAAAATGGCTGCTCCTCCTCTCACCCCTCTTCCTCCTCCTCCTCATGATTTCTGTAATGGCCATGACTCTGCCCCATCCTTTGCCGCACACCAACATTGAATGGCGGTCATCCCGAGCCCTAAGCTCTGCTGGGAAGTTCAGACTCAGGCCCAGAGTCACGGAGCTCCCTCATATCCACAGCGAGGCCTGGAAATTCAGCACTCGAAAAGAGACATCAAAACATTCAGTGCTACCTAAACCTTTGGGGGCTAGTGACAAAAACAGCATCAAAGAGGGACATTTCACAGACTTACACAGACATAAACACAGAAACAAAGGCATCGCTTCCAGAAGAAAAGAGATGGCAGGCGCCACCCAGCATCCAACCATTCATCATCATCCCCATCTCCCAGAGTTTACAGTCAATAGCACAGGGCCAAAGCATAGAATTAAGCCAAGCAACCACAGTATTGTGGTAAAGCACACTGCACAGGCCTACATTCATCTACAAAGGAGCAAATCCACAGCAGCACATTTCCCTGCTCCAGCAAATACCTTAATAAGTGGCAGACGAGCTGTGGACAGACTGGCAGGCAGATGGGAGGATAGACACACAAACAGGAATGCAGACACACAAAGACATGGCAGCTATACAAGTGCAAAACCAACTGAATATCACCGGGCTTTGGAAAAACACAGACAAGCAACAAAGCACTCTGGGAAATCTGACAAAGTTGGTAAGGAGCAGCAGGCTGTGAAAAAGCCCTCCAGGGATCTTAAAAAACACCAGAATCTCTCAGAGGATCCCTCTGAAGCAAAGAACAACCCTGGGGAGTTGCGCCATGGAAAGGCTTTGTCCAAACTAGAGTCAGCAGTAAAGATAGATGACAACGGCTGGTGTCAGAGCTTTAGAGACCAGGACTTCCCAGACAGTGACCACAGGAGGATCAGGATTAGTCCAGATCTCAGGCCTCTTCCCTGGCTCTCTGACGATGACATCCAGAGGATGGAGCTCCTAGCTGGGGGTGAGGTGGTCAGTAAGAACAGGGTGCCTGCACATGGACAGGTGCTCAGAGTGGCGCTGGATCCTCCTATGCACCAGCAGGTACATTGTAATACATTTGTTAGGGGATCATTTGAAATCTCACACAATGGAGATGAATGTTTGTTGATTGGAGACAAAAGAAGGAAGTCCCTACTCAGGCCACTATTTACAAAGTGGGAGGTACTATCACAGGTATACAGTACTAAACCACCACTTGGTGTCTCCTTGTGGAGATGAGGGGAAATATACTTGCAGTTTCTTTCAGTCTAAATTTATCACTGCCTCACTCAGTCAGTGACGGACTTGGGTGTTTACAGGGCTGGCCACACCTCGCTGCAGCCTCACTAATTACAAACAGTCATGTGTTGATCCCATTAACAGACATTATCTGAGTTCCCAAAGCCTGATATATCTTATTCCATTGTGACTGAGCCACACTGCTGCACTAGGTTACGTGTGTCATCATCAACATGAGCTCTGTAGTTCATTTTGACTCAGTCCCACACTGCAAAATACTTCCAGGAAGTTCCAATATGTAACTGTAATATTTCACAATAAATTACGTTATTATCACCTCAAAGACCTTTACTGTGAATTTCAACCAAAGTCTGAATTTTATTATGAAATTCATACAGGTAAATATTGTAATTTTAACTATGAGGTTACAGTGCAATACAGTAATTCTGTGGGAGCATCCTGCTAAATCACAGTATTCAAAATGTACATTAACTTTGAAGTTACAGTTAAATTCACTAATTTTCAGGAACATATTGTTATATCAGTAATCTAATGGGCTTTAGAGCTGCTAGCTATTTTACAGTACTTGAATAGGCTTAGAGCTACTAGTTAAGACTGACTAAAGAAGACAGTATTGAAAGATGACTAATAACTTCACTGATCCTTTAATCTGCATTACCGTGAAATGATGTCGAAGGATGATAAAGTGTAATGCAGACTGTCAAAAAAAGGTGTTAATTTTGATGAGTTAATCACAGAACAAATGTGTTAAAAAAATTCACGCTGATTAATAGCCTGTGGTACTCTTCTTTGACCCAGTGCGTCATTGAAGGCCACAGTGGCTTTGTCACATGATGGAGGCAGGTGAGACAGGATGCAGGAGGCAGTTTGCCCCTTGAATGGAACATTTACATTTAAAAAATGCCCAGATGGAACTGTTGATATAATATAATAGGAGCACTGTACTTAGAATTTTTGTACCATCGCAGTACTTAAAGCCTGAAATATCACCTCAAAGCAAAGCATTTAGCAGTGAACCAAGATGTCCGAGCTAGCCCAGCCTCTGATGTTAGCGCTAGCAGTCAGCTTAGTCAAGCCACACTCCAGCAGGCACTCAGACACAAATTGAGTAAAGTGCAACACACACCGCCGCCGTACGCCGCGCGTCAAAACGCCCGCCTCCATTATATGAAATGAACCAACCCACACTGGCGCTGGCCGACGCGCCGCGCCGCTCTGCTTCAGCCCACTGCTCTATTTCCAGCGCAGCCGGCGCTCATGGCGGTGCTGCGAGAAAAGCCTTTTATGTATGTCTCGTCTCGTAGGATCAACTCCGGTTGTTTCAAATTTTTAATAAGACGACTTTGATAAGAAACTCACCCGTGAAATTCAAGTTATTGTTGCCTCAAAGTTTTTCCTCTTCTTCTTCTGTTACTAGCAGTTGGCAACCGTTGGCAACTAGTGTAGGTACAGCCACCTAGCGGGCTGGGGTGGGAAATACATGTTGACGGCGCCGCTGCGCGCCGCTGCGCGCCGCTGCCAGTGTGTGTTGGGGGCGGCCCTTGACGGCCACAGCGCCGCGCCGGCGGCGGTGTGTGTTGCACTTTAGACTACCTGTTACCAACTCGCTAACTCTCTTGCTAAATGGATGGCAATGGGCTGCAGACCAATTTCAGTGGTAGAGGACAGGGGGACAATTGTGTCCAAAATCCAGCAGCTTTACCACGACACATCTGCTAAAATTAATTTGAATTGAAATTTTGAAATGCTGTCACAGCAAAAATTGTTCCGAATATGAAACTGGTGAAAAAGTTATTGTTTGATCGCTGTTCTGATTGCGTCACAAATTATACTATTTTAACAATATAGCCCAAGGCATGAGGAATTGGGTTTGGTGTTTGAAAATTGAACACTAAATGGAAAGCATTATATAACTGTGTTTCTCCATCACAGCAGCCATCTTCCCAGAGGGGCTCACCTGAGCATGGACCTGGCCACAGACACCCAGAAACCCACAGTGAGCGCTGCCAGCAGGGGCACTGCTCCCTGATCAAACGCACTGATGACTGGTTTGAAGTGTTTGCCTTCCACCTGGACAGGGTACTGGGACTCAACAGAAGTCTCCCTGCGGTGCTGAGGACTTTCCACAGTGAGATTTTACCCTATCGATACATCAGTGGCATCCCCAGACCTGTAGTATGGTGGGATCCAGATATTCAGCACCTCACTGATAGAGACAACGACCAGAACTCAGTAGCACTCAGCTGGACCCAGTACCAGAGGCTGCTGCAGGTTCACTGTGGGAGAGAAGCAGACTTGGGGACAGCACCCTGTGTGGGAGTTCAACACTCAGAGTGGGGTAGACTGGCCTTCTTTGACTTCTTATTACAGGTAAGACAAGAGCTTTTTTTCTCATGCTGTGGCTTCCTCCTGTAGGAGAGAGCTGTAACCACAAACATGCATGAGCAACATATTTTTTAATGATTGTAAAGCAGAAAATAAAGGTTTTCCATCCTGCAAAGACTAAGTTAGGTGCAGTCAGGAGTACTTAGATGGGTGATTCCTATACGAAACAGAAAAAAGTGTGAGATGTGTGAGATAACAGACTGATTTCAGTAATGAACAGTAAAATGCATGTGTTTCTGAACAGAGGTCCTCCTTCAGAGGTCCAAGTGACAGCACAGCAACAGTGCACCAGGTCAAAATGGCACTGTGGGAAGTCAAGTCTGAAGGCCTGGTCAAACCATGTGGAACTGCAAAGTTAATGAGCACATTCTCGAAAAGTAGCTGGTGCTTGGTATTTGGTGATATAGTGGCTTCTTGCTAAGCCAGTTGGTGAACTGCTGTGGTTGGTGAGCTAACCACTGACATGCAATGCAAGAACTTGCTAGTGCTAGTCAATCACAATAACTCTCCAAGAGAGATTCTTGACGGACCACGACGACCTCACCAATATGACCAACAAAGGTATTAAACTAGCACAATTGGTAGCAAGCAAATCTGCTGACATATTACTGTCTGCTGTCATGCACTGTTCATACATTTCCTATAAAAGGTAATGCAATAACATTCATACATATCCTACATGCACATGGGCCAGTAATTTTTGCACAACCCACATGTTTTGGAAGGCTGCAATCCCATGACTAATGCGCTGATAAAAGTAAAGAAGAAGGGGCTCCCGATCAGTCTAGTTAGGAAGCAAGTTTGGCAGAAGATGGGTCACAAAACACAGGACTTTCCCTTGGGACTGTCCCAGGAGATCTGTGTTTAGAACCACATGAACTTTGGGTCATTTTAAGGTACGTCATCACCATGTTTCTTTACCTAAACCTAACCCTGTAACTTTACTTGCCCTAACCTAAAGATGCCTAACCATGTTTCTTTCCCTAAACCCAACCCGGTACCTATACTTGCCTAAACCTTAAGACGTCCAACCATGTTTCTTTACCAAAATGTAACCCAGTAACTTTACTTGCCTACACCCAAGAATACCTAAGCACATTTAAAGGCGCTGTATGTAAGAATGTGGCCAAAATGGTTACTGCACTCAAATTCAAAATACTGCCGCGAATCATGTCCGCCCCCCCTCCCCTACAGATTCGAGGTTGCTGGACAGGGCACGCTGGAGACTGTTTTGTTTGCCCACGGGCAGCTGCCGTGGCAGGGCCGCGTCGCCGCGTCCTTGATGTTTTCCAGCGGACTGTTCGAGCAAGTCCGGCTTCTCTGCTGCTAACGCTGCTGCCAGGATACAGCTGAGGAGAAGCAGGCTGCTAATGCTATGTACAGGGACACTGCTAACGCTGCTGCCGGGATACAGCTGAGGAGGAGCCGGCTGCTAATGCTATGTACCGGGACACTGGTAACGCTGCTTGCCGTGCTGCTGTAGCTCAGCCGTAACTGTAACTGATGCTGAGACTCTACTGACTGTGTGACTGGTAGACGGCGGTGGGTGGCACAAAAGGCCAAAACACAAATTCAAAACATAAACATGATTTGCAGACTGCAAAAAAAATTTTTTAGAAGCAAATATTCTGGCTGTACTATTGTTGTCGGTGAGATCAGTATGTTATATGAACATTATTCCTTAGTCTCTGTGACATATTAGGAGGATTTTACGACTGTTTGCTTTAGATTTCTTACATATAGCTCCTTTAAAGTATATAAAATTAAATTAAAATTTCTTCCTAACCCTAACTCAGTAAATTTACCTACCTAAAGCTAAAAACACCTGACCATGTTTCCTTCCCTAAACCTAGACCAGTAACTTTACTTGTAACCTGAAGATGCCTAACCATGTTTCTTTCCCTAAACCTAACCACTTTACCTTTACTTGCCAGAAACCTAAAGACACCCAACCATGTTTCTTTACCTAAACATAACCACAGTAACTTTACTTACCTAACCCTAACCATGTTTCTTTATCGATACCTAATCACAGTAACTTTTTTTACCTAAACCTAAAGACACCCATCCGTGTTTCTTTCCCTAAACTTTACCACTGTAACTTTACTTACCTAAGCCTAAAGATGTCCAAGCATGTGTCTTTACCTAAACCTAACCACAGTAACTTTACTTACCTAGACCATACCAAAGTAATTTTACTCAGTTAAATCTAACCACAGTAATATTACTTACCTAAACTTGACCACAATAATCTTACCTGCCTAAACCTAAAGATGCCCAATCATGATTCTTTACCAAACCTAACTACAGTAACTTTATGTTAATTATGTAACTGTACATTAAGGACATAATATATCACTCATGGGCACTAATTCGTAGGTTATCATCTTAACTGTTGTGTGAGGGTGTTTACTGAGTACCAAAACTGATCAAGCTCACAGTATTATGTAACAAACCACAATGCTAGTATTTAATTATGTTGTTTTATGAGATTTTATTTGGTAAATAAGCACATTTTATTGGTAATTGATTATTAAATTACATTAGTTGTCTCATAATGAGAAAGGCATTGTCTGTAATGATGTAATTTACATGCATGCCTCAATACATATCATTGTAATTTATATAAAATGGTTTAATGGCCTTCACTGTGTTTAAGCAGAAAAAAGCTCAGAATAGAAAATCAGTTTCAAATGTAGCAGGTGTGTATTGGTCAGTTTGGAGTGGGAAATAGATGAAAATAATGAAATGGACAGTTGTATGTGTATATCCTAAACATCATTAGGGATTTACAGAAACAAAAAATGAAAGATATAGGATTGTACTGTACTGACTAAAACCTCTCTAATATTGTTCTGCTTCAGTTTATCAGAATCAACCTTTGCAGAGTTAATGTTCACATATTGTGCTATGATTTGATAGAGGTTTAGAGCTGCAGCTGCATCATTCCAAAGGGATACTCATCCTGAAAATGCTTTTTTTAGGTGAACCTCAAAATATTTCATTTGTACTGTGTGCCATCTTCATTTATTCTTCACATATAACATATATACTGATATTTACACATCTTGTGTTCCCTTTACCATGACACCAAAAGTATTCAAATAGACCTTGTGGTTGCAGAGATATATTCATTTCATTATGGGTATGCAATTTTCAAGCAGAGGCCTATAAAATAGGTTTAGGGTTTAAAGCCCTGAAGGAAAACTCCTCCAAACAGCCATAAAACATGGATTAACATCAGCATAATTTCACAAAAGTATCAAATTCAGCTCAATAATAACTGTCAAGGTTCAGACACAAAACAACAGCTTTTTGCTAGTGACCCATTATTAGCTCAAGTATGTTTACACTGCATAAATTAGCCTAGCAGCTAGCTGACTTTTTTCCTCTAGTTATAGTTGAACAAATTACATGTAAAACTAGAACTGCAAGCAGTTATGAACGGGGGCCAAGCCCCCCCGTGCGACTCGGTCCCCGCGTCCCGCAGAGCACATGGAAGTTGTCCCCGAAGGACAACGGGCTCTGGACGAGCGCATGTTTATGAATGTGTCATTTAAAATGTGGAAGTTACAGGCAAAACTGCCTTTGCATCCGTTATAGTGCCACCTATAGACCGATTTGTGACGAATTTGGCACAAAGCCTCTGGATGACCTCGGGAACGAGTGATTTAAGTTTGATGTTGAAAGCATCTACTTTGAGCGAAATATGAAACTGTGTGTTTTTTAGCTAGCAAAAAAGATTGTTTGGTTGTAACAAGGGCATTTTTTGGAGTGCCAAAATTCTTTTGATAACTTTTCATCAGACACATCTGGAGATTCTATGTGCAAAGTTTCAGGCAGGTGGCACTTAAAATGTAGGAGGAGTTCGAAAAAGTAGGTTTTGGACATGTGGCGAATTATCAAAGAGAATGTGCAGCAGAAGTGGCCGGGGCCTGTGTCAGAAAACCCAGCTCTATCCAGGGAACACATGGATATAATGTTTGTGAAAGTGTCATTTAAAATGTGTAAGTTGCAGGCAAAAACGCATTTGCATCCGTTATAGCGCCACCTAGTGGAGTACATGTGCAATTTTTGGTACAGAAGATCTGTGTCCTATTCTATATGTACCCTTAAACTTTCAAAGCCCTCAGCATAATAGTTTGGCTGAAATTAATGTTTGTTGTTTATCTTGTAATGAGCCACGCCCACACTGACCAGTCATGATCACCTTCAAGATATGACCTCAGAATTGGCCCTACATCATACCAACCGAATTTCGTAGAAATCGGTGCAGCTGTTCAAGAGATATAAACTTACCATATTTGTAGCGCCCCCTAGTTGCCAAAATTCGCCAAATTCGGCTCATACCCTCACAGTCTTATGCCAACCAATGATCTCAAATTTGGTGTTAATAGCATTTAGTTTGACCGAGATATCCAACAGTTTGCATTTTAATAGCTAGCTATAGAAGTTTGTTTGCGCATTTTTTGACCGAATAAAATTCTTTTGATAACTTTAGATCAGGTCCAGTAGAAGAGTGTATATGTCAAGTTTCACACAGATTGGACAAAATCCCAAGGAGAAGTTCGAAAAAGTAGGTTTTCCAGTTTTCGCGATTTTGCGAAAAAACTTCCTAGGCGCAAGTGGGAGTGGCCTATGGCAAAGTGATTCAGCTCTATTCAGGGAAGCTGGGGATACAAGATTTTTGAATGTGCGACATACGGTGTGGGAGCTATAGGCAAAAACGCATTGGCCTAGGTTATAGCGCCACCTGCAGGCAGATAGACATAGTTTTTTGCGTCTGAGGTACGTGCAGGGGTCTGGACCACCCCTCCAAATTGCACCGCCCTCCCTTGCACGGTTTAGCCTGCAGCACCACTTTTACCTACGGAAGAATAAAAATAAAAATCTTTACAAAAACAATAGGGTTCCTAGCACCGCTGGTCCTAGGAAATGCGTCTGCTTGCATACGCATTCCCTCGGCCTTGGCCTCCTAATTATTA